ATTGTTGTCGCTGTAAATCCTAAAAGTCTAACTTATTTTGAAATATAATTAAATGGACAAAATGTTTTTTATATATATATATATAAAATTTAACTACTTTTTTTTATGTACAATAAAAAACAAAAGAATTGATGATCAAGAAGAAAAGGGTGGGGTATGAAGGAAGAAGAAAAAGGATAAGGATATGAAAATATTTTAATTAATGTTATTAGCTCACTTTAATTTAAACTCAAACAAGTCAAACTATGTAATTACGTTCAAATTACACTATTAATTATATATAAAGAAATATTATGATGCCGTGTTACGATAATCCAAAGATTTCATGTTCTAGGTCAAATTCTTGATTATATATAAGTTTGCTTTACAAAATTCTTATTTTTTTAAAGACTACTTTAAAAGGAAAATATATTAAAATCCCCCTGAATTATATTCCTTTTACTAGTTTTATTATCGAAATCAAAATTTGAACTTTATGTATTCTAAGTTATAGGATAATAACATAAGATGTTAAAACTCATCTTCTGAATTTAATTTAAGTATATTTTAATCGACTGACCCGTACCTAATCTTCTAGTTTCATCTTTGAGTTTAATACAACAAATTATGAGGGTACACAATACCCCTAAATTATAGTAAATCTATTCAAGGATGTGACGTGATGGTCAATGAACTGAATTAAAAATCGTGAAGCCTCAGGTTCAGATGAAAATACTAGTTAATTTCTTTCAATCTATTTTAGCCTTGATGAAAAGAGTTATCTGATACTTGATTGTTGCGATGTGACATATATCATGCGAAATTAGTTGTGGTGCACAAACTAACCCTGAGACTAAAAATGAGCAAGAATATGCTTTAGCTATCCAAAGAATATGCTATACAACTTTGTTTCCAAAACAAGAAGAGTCCATAAAACTCAACACCTACTATAGTCTTTTTTGTCAAACATTTTAATTTCCTCCATTTCCAAATTCCTTCTACTTATCTTTGTTTGCCTAATTTTCTCTGTTTTATGGATAGACAAACCAAGAAACAAAAATTTCACTATGATCAAACTCATCCCATACATGGATTTAATTCCCTACCTCAAGAAATTGTCCTTGACATAGCCTCAAGGCTTCCCATAACATCTTTAGTCCAATTCACATTTTCTTGCAAATCATTTTACAACATGTTACATGACAAAGACCTTGTGAATATGCACAAGAATCGTGTAGTAGAGACCGATCCTTGCATTATTATACACGCGGATTACCCTTTGAGGAATCAACTCTACTTTCTTGAATTCTCCAATCATCGCGATGTTATGAGGAAAATAAGGACACCTTTTGCAAACTATGTGCCTGAATTTAAAGTAGTTGGTTCATGTCAAGGACTATTATGCATATGTGATTCTTTGTTTAGTGATGCACTTTATGTGTACAATCCTTTTACAAGGGATTACAAACAACTCCCTAGATCAATCGAATTTGAGGTACAAAAATTGGTTTTTGGTTTTGGATTTCATCCTGTTACTAAAGAGTATAAAGTGATCAAGATCATAAACTATGCCAACATGTATTATAATGAACCTGGAAGTTATCGTAGGTTTCGAGTCCCTTTCTTTGGTAAATCAGATGTTCAAGTACTTAGTCTTGGTACTAACAACAGATGGAGGAGTGTTGGAGAAGTTGTATATCGTTTTGATCGTAGTTCTCAAGGAATTCTGTTGAACGGGAAGATGCATTGGTTGACTCGATTTGGTAAGTATAATGGACGTCGTGATAAGCTTATTGTTTCGTTTGATTTGGCTGAAGACGTGTTTGGTGAAGTACCAAAAGTTGATTTTGATGTTAAGCCAAGAATTGTTCAGTATCATTTAGTAGTTCTTGGTGATTGTCTTGGTGTTGGTCTAACTTTGCCTCACTATAAAGGGGGAGGATTTGAAATTTGGGTAATGAGAGAATATAATGTGAAAGAATCTTGGATGAAAGAGTTTAGAATTGGGGCTTATACACCAAATCCAAATTGTGTAACACAACATGTGAAACCATTGGTGAAAGTTTTATGTTTGTTGAAGAATGGAGAGATCTTGTTGGAGTACAAAGGTGGAAATCTTGTTTCATATGATCCTAAAAATTGTGTCTTTAGGACTTTAAGGTTTCAAGGGATGCCTAATTTGTTTCAAACATTTGTTCATGTTGGTTGTCTTAATTGGGTTGATATTCCACCTCATGATCTTTTACAAAATTAGATCATCTAAAACAATCAGAGGCGGAGCTAGGATGGGAAGTAGGGGTTCAGCAAAACACAGTAACTTTGGTCTAAACCCTATATATTTGTTAAGAGATCCATTTGAAAATGTATAGAATTAGATCATCAAACTTGTTTTGGGGTTCCCTCTCAGTGTATGGTACACACATTGGGGCCCGACTACATCTGGATTCGCATCAGGTAGTAGGGTAAAAACTCTCCTTAACAAAGACGACTCTGTATCCAGATCATCAAACTTATTACAAACCTTTATAGAAAAGCTTAGTACTTTGTTTCTTTGTCTTTTGAAATAGTTGTGCAACATACAACAGAAGGTGCTTATTTCAGTGATATATGTTTAAAGACTGTGACCTTGTGATTAAATCGTTCCGTGTTTGATATCAACGTTGAACATTTAGAGTACACTTATCGGAAAATCATAGCCTGTAAAAGCAGTGGTTTCAGCAGAAGTTGGTTCCTCAAAAGTCATGGTTGAGATGCCATAAGGATAGTTTTTTTTGTTTTTAACTTCTAGCAGTCACAATTTTAGCTTGCTATTCTTCTGCAAGTTGCAAAACATCAAGTGTATATTCATTAGACAATAATGGTTACAGAATCGTGATGTGAACTTTCCAAAGTTATCGCGTAGGTCACTGGAAATCACCTTACATCTAAGTTCTTCACGAGCACGAGCAGTATATCATGGAATTTGCAGATCATATATGTTTGAATAGAAGTATATATAAATTCTTAAGAGCGAACTGTATCACCATCTGTTTGACAATGTCTAGTTTTCGAGTTGTTACTTGAAGCATGTTTTTGCTTTGTCAAAAGACTGATTATGTATATATGCTATATGTTGAATTGAATCCCCTTGGCTTCTTAGTGTGTTTACTTCTGCGTACTTTGACTCCCCTGAGTGAAAATTTGAGACTGAGACGTAGTTGTTGTAAAATCCCTACATTCAAAAACTAATTGACAAAGTTAAATTATGCACATCAACATTATTAAGTCCATAGACCCCAAATTTTGATCACTATTCATCCAAATGTCCACTCGATTACATAAGATCGTTGATGGAGAAACACTACCAGTGAAGATTCATATAGCTGATTGCAACTTGTTTAAGACTGAGACGTAGTTATTGTTGATGTATTCATCAATATGTCCACCACATTGTCGTGTCTACACTGTAGAAAAAAACATGAGATCTCAAAATCTTCAATTTTCTCTGATCCCCTAAAAGGATGTTATTTGCCTTCAATTTTTTTTGTCAATTTCATGTTCTTTAACAAAAAAGGCATGTAACATCCCGGTTACTGCTATTACATCGATAGTATAGAAATTATTTACACTGTCAGTATAAGAAAAACCAACGAACATAATTAGCCGACATAACATACCAAACCCTTGATTCATACAAACACAACCTTCCAAATGCTACACTCCACCATTTGGACACTTCCCCTTACCATTTTCCTCTGCAAAAAAATCACCATATGAATTCTAACATTTTCTTCTTTGGACTTTGTTTCTTAGTCGCCCGTTCGGCTCCCTTTCTACATCAGGTATGAAAATCCAATAAACAAAATGTCAAAAACTAGCCATTTTCTTCCTATATATACACATTTCAAGCCCTCATAAGTCATAACAAGCAAAAAAAATAGACCTCACTTCTTCGTCGTGGCATGAACTAATTTGCTTGGTTCAATTCCGCCCCTAAAACAAGCTCCTACTCCGTCATGGGAAGGCCGAACAACGATCCTACTATTGCAGGTCCTTCAATTGTACTGCTGCAAGAAAGATTCAGACAATTGGAAAAAGCAAAAGTGCAGAGAGAAAACAGAACACAAAATTTGTTCTCACATCCTCAAGTGATGACACAAATCAAGAATCATGCTTCTGTCAAGCCAGAATTCACACACGAACTAATTTTTCGATCAGAAATGTTCGATTCTGATCAAGATAAGTTCTTTCTTGAACTTAGTTTGAATAACAAACACACAGGCTACCAAGTCAGAAAGACTCAACCTTTGTGGTGGGCGTTGACACCTAAATGTAAATATGAAAATTCTGAGGTTGATACTTCTCTCCATCTATAGTAGACACGCGATACTTTTTATACACGATCATATCAGTGTAGTTTAACCTGTTATAGCAAGTTCGTTACCATTTCTGCCAGGTTTCTAGTAATGCTTATCATGGAGATTTACGTATAATTACCTTATAAGTAACGCGATTTTGTAAATACTTTTTTGTATTGAGAGTGCATAGAACTTAAACTTGTTCACGTTGATATCCTATGGAAGTCTAACTCCTATTCTTTTCTGGTAGACATCAGATATCATATGTTTCTGAATTAACAAAGAAACTTGTTCTGTTTCAAGTCATAACTAATGAACTCATCACTGATTTCTTCACGAGCAATGTAGATTTCATAATCCAATCAATACTCCCTCCGTTTCAATTTGTTTGTCTGGTTTTGATATGACACGAAGTTTAGATTGTAAAGAAGACTTCTGAATCTTGTGGTCTTAAATTAAAGATATATAGAATGCACCAAACTGTCGTTTAATCTTGTGGTTATTAACATGCCATATGTAAAGTTGGAACTAAAGAGGTAGCCAAAAAAAGGAAAAACATTCTTTCTGAAACAAACTAAAAAGGAAAGTTAAGTAAGACAAACAAATTGAAATGAGCGGAGTAATTAGTTTTGAAGAATATGTAATCTTGGCTTTTGCATATAAATATTATAGCAAAGTTCATAGTACATAAAAGACATGCAGTAGCCCCACAATTTTTACAGATAAGAGAGTACTAAATTCATTTTCCGGGTACAAAGTTTGTGGCGTAAGCCCAAGCATTGTTGGCAACTGGATCAGCAATGTGGTCGGAAAGGTTCTCAATTGGACCCTTTCCAGTAACAATAGCTTGAACAAAGAAACCAAACATCGAGAACATAGCCAATCGTCCATTCTTGATTTCCTTGACCTTCAACTCAGCAAATGCCTCGGGATCATCAGCAAGGCCAAGAGGGTCAAAGGCACCCCCCGGGTAGATCTTGTCGAGGCCTTCACCTAATGGGCCTCCACCAACTCTGTATCCTTCCACAAAGCCCATTAACACAACTTGGGATGCCCAAATGGCAAGAATGCTCTGAGCATGGATAAGGTTTGGGTTACCAAGGTAGTCAAGACCGCCTTCGGAGAAAATTTGAGATCCAGCCTTGAACCAAACAGCTTCACCGAATGTAACACCATTCTTAGACAAAATTTCAGGGAAAACACATCCCAAAGCACCAAGCATGGCCCAACGACAATGGATCACCTCAAGCTCACGGTTCCTAGCAAATGTCTCAGGGTCAGCTGAGAGTCCAGCAGTGTCCCATCCGTAGTCACCAGGGAACTCACCAGTCAAGTATGATGGTGTTTGCTCAGAAAATGGTCCCAAGTACTTTGGCCTGTCTTCTCCATACCTATTTCATCAAATCACAAATTTTAGTCACGTCTATATCATCAAACTCTTTAGTTACCAAATTACATTTTTTCTTTCTTAACTTTTAGGGCATCTAAATAATTGGTGTATGAGAATCTTGGCACAACAATAAAATTAGTTGTCTTATCATCATGTAATTAGGAGGTCAAGAATTTACGTCATGAAAGTAGTCGTAAAATTGTGTACGATAGACCTAATGTGGTCTAACCCTTTATTAGGATAGTACTAGCAATTTAGTACACCATACTGCCTTTATATATAATCAACACTAAAGACATTTCTATGTCACAAAATAGTAATCCCCCTGTTTCAATTTATATGACTTACTTTCATTTTTAGTCAGTCCAAAAAAGAATGTCACATTTCTATATTATGTAACAATTTAACTTTACAAATCAATTTTATCCTTAATGAATTGATTTACACAAATTTCTATCATTCATTTTAGACCACAAATTTTACAAGTCTTCCTTTATTTCTTAAACTTCGTGCCGAATCAAAGTACATCACATAAAATGGGACGGAAGGAGTATTTGACATGATTATTTCAAGATTTTGCATGGTATCCATTTTTTAAAAATGGAAATAATAACATGACTAAATGAACAAAGAATAATTCATTGAAAATTAACAATAATATGACTAAATAACTAAAAATATAGTATATGATAAATTAAGAAACTACCATATGCTTTGTGGTGCACTTTTGACAGTACGTCTCATGGTGACACGTCCACCTTCGAAGCTACCAATTTTCCTAATAAATTCATTTTGTGACTTAAGTGCTGTTTGGCCAGCAAATGCAGATTGTTGAATTGCAGAAGTAGCCATTTTATCCTCTCTTTTTTCTCTTCTTTGAGATGATGCTAATTTTGCAATATGAAGAAATGTACTATATATATTAAATAAGCTTGGGAATGAAGGTTTTTATATGAAAATACATGGATTTTGAGGATCAAAAAATGTACACCTAAGCAGAAGCTGATTGGTTAATGTATTTTGGATTTGGATTTCCTTTGTGATTTTTTAATAGTGAAAGAATGAGGCCTTTGTTTTGCCATGTGGCTGTCAAATATCTCTTGGCTGAGATTGTTTCTTTCAGAATGGACCATTTTCACATGTTCACGTGAATAGAATTACCAGATATCTGTTGCAGGTGGGAGATAACATTTTGGCAGATATTATGTAAAATTAGTCGAAGTGTTCGAAATTTGGTTCAGATCATAAAAACTAATGTTGCAAATGAGAGGTCATGACATCCTGAATTATATCTTATGAAATTAGTTAAAGTGTTCAAAATCTGGCTCGAACACATTAATCGTAAAAAAAGGACCATGTTCACGTGCTCAATACATACGAAGTTGGCAAAATCAGCTACAAACTCAATCGTTCAGATCATAAAAACTAATGTTGCAAATGAGAGGTCATGACATCCTGAATTATATCTTATGAAATTAGTTAAAGTGTTCAAAATCTGGCTCGAACACATTAATCGTAAAAAAAGGACCATGTTCACGTGCTCAATACATACGAAGTTGGCAAAATCAGCTACAAACTCAATCGTTCAGATCATAAAAACTAATGTTGCAAATGAGAGGTCATGACATCCTGAATTATATCTTATGAAATTAGTTAAAGTGTTCAAAATCTGGCTCGAACACATTAATCGTAAAAAAAGGACCACGTTCACGTGCTCAATACATACGAAGTTGGCAAAATCAGCTACAAACTCAATCGTTAAATAACTTGTATCTAACATTTTCTTTAATAATATGTAGTCAATTTGCACTAAATAGAATTAGGACGAATTGTATTATTTAATTATAAAATTTATCCATGGCTAATTTATAATTCTTTAATATTCCTTTGCTAACAAGATTGATCTAATCTAATTAAGATTTAAGATAGTTACAACTTACAATTACACACATTTGGAAGAAGTCAAACAAATGTGTTGATATTTTTGAGGATGAAAGTTACAAATATAAAAAGGATTTGTTAATATGTGAAGATAAAGTCCCACCAAGGAAATGAAATTTTATTTCCTGGCTAATAGAGTCCTCTCTTTGTTTTCTCTCTTTTTTTAATCTTCTTTTGAGTTTTTAAAAATTAATTTTTTTGTTCCTCAAGGATACAATAGAAAGAGGTATTCTATATTATATTCTTCGACAAAAGACTTGAACTCATAATTCTATTGTTTAAATGGTAAATTTTTTGATAAACAATAAATAATAATAATGTGTTCGATATAATTTCAAAAATAAAATCTAAAAGAAGTGATTCATACGCAGATCTTAATCATTTTTGTAACTTAAAAAATATTCATTAAATTGGTCAAAACAAGAGTAGAATTACATAATATCAACATTGTCACAATGTCTTTAATAACAAATAAATAACATTTGTAGTAGCAAAATTTTATTCAAGAATCACTAGCAAATTACTTGCTTTTTATTTATTAATTAAATTATTATATTTAATAAAATAACAAAAATAATGTTTAAGCAAATTGTGGGATCAATTGCCACCACTACCATGACCCGACCCATGTCCGAAACCAAAACCACTACCTCCATTTTTACCACCACCGCCGCCGCCACCGCCCCTCCACCACCGCCGCCACCGTTTGCACCGGATCCATGACCCTCGCCATATCCCATGCCATAACCAAATCCGCCATCACTACCTCCACCTCCACCACCGCCACCGCCACCGCCACCGCCACCACCACCACCGCCGCCAATAAGACCTACAATTTGACCAAATCCATCATTAGCACCCGATCCATGACCCTCGCCGAATCCGAAGCCAGAACCAAATCCACCATTACTACCACCACCGCCGCCGCCACCACCACCACCAAGTCCTCCTAAAATTTGGTCAAAACCGTTGAGGTCGATTAAATCCCTCCTAAGAAGCTTTCTCGCAGAGGAAGTTTGCACTACAACTCCCAAAATAAGTACAACAAGCATCAATTTCCATGACATATTTGCACCTTTTGTTACCGCTACAAAAAATAAATAAAAATTAGATCAGCTACGAAACTAGAAATTTTATTAAGAAAATTTAAAAAAAAATACAAAAATGTAATTATACATATTTTGAATTTTTTATATATGAAAGATGAAATTATACTAATAGTGTACTAGATCCATCGTATCTATATGGTACATCATGAAGATGTTAGGAAATAATGGATTTGGGAAATAAATAAAAACAACCGATTTCGATAGAATATATAATCTCTATTCTTAAGGAATTTAAGCCCTCACTATATTACTGCATGGATAATTTGTAGTAGCATTCCTTTAGAATTTTACAAAATCAACGAAAATTCGAATTTATATGTATATATATGTGACACCATATGCATATATCCAGTATAATTCGATAAATATAATTTAGAAATGGTAATGTGTATACATATTGTCTTATACCTCAAGATATAGAAATTGTTTTGATAGCTTATCGAATATTAAACACTAATAGAATTAGTTATAACTAATACTAACATATATTATAAAAAATAAAAGGAATTAATATGTATCTTACTTTGCTTTCGTGGTAGGCTGAATGTTGGAGTGGCCATGAAAATGCTAAAATATTACTTATATTGTATTAATGTTTGAGGTATTATGAAAATATATGCATAGGAAAGAAGTTATATATAGGTACCTTGAAGCCTGGCGTATTAATGAAATATTGGTAAGTTACTATTATTCAAAGTACAATTAATTAATTTATTAATACACAAACCTCGCAAAACGTTAAATTAAATAAAAATAAGAATGAAGTGAATGTATGTAGTTGAGCATAAATTAATGAGTTAATAAAGAAAGAGTTACCAAAGGGAATTATATATTGCGTTTTGCTTTATTTATTGAAAGTAGAAAACATTATTTGCCATATTTTTATTTCTTTTTAATTTGGAATTATTAAAATTATAAAATTCCTTGACTTAATTACTCGACATTTAGATAATAAAGTTAGCAAAAATTAAGTATTAGTGTAAATTTTTAGTGGAGTTAAGTTTTTATAACTTAAATTCTAGCGTAATCAAGAAAAATATTTTATTCATAAAATTCAATTATTGAAAATATCATCAATTAATTAATAAATATGTACAACATTAATTAGTTCAGTTGACCATGCATCAATAAACAAAAGAGGGTTAGTAAAGGAAATTGCATCTTGCGTTTCATGTTATTTATTAGAAATTTATTAGAAGTAGTAGAAAAATAATGTATGTAGAAAAAATAATCCATGTCATTTTTTGTGGAATATATATATATATATATATATATATATATATATTCTATATATAATAAGCCACAATGCAACTATCATTGTAACTATCTTGTTAGCTTTCAACCAAAAGCTAACAAGATTTTTAGTTACATATTTATTATTTAATTAAATAATAAATATGTCATTTCTATATATATTTTTCTATTACTATATATAATAAGTGGGAATATCTACTACTTAGCACATGACAAGTGTTACATGTGCTTAGATAGTGTTGTACATTCTTCTTTTATGGTTGTACCTTTAAAATTTATATTATTGGACAATTTAACACCATTAATCACAATAATTAATAACTTAAAACATTTTTTAAAAAAATATGAAAATTTTGATGACTCTCCAAATTTTATTTGTGTCACATAAATTGAGACAACAAAAATAACATATATTCGGTGCATTTTAATTTATTTGTCTTTTTATTTGTATTTTTTTATATTTAAAAATTGCGTATAAATACTATAAATCATGATAATTGACAACATAAAATATGTTTTGAAAAAAATACAAAAAATTTCACTGATTCTTGAAGTGAATCTATCGTAAAAATACTATAAATCATGATAATTGACAACATAAAATATTTCAAAAATAAAAACATATAAAAAAATTCGATTGATTCTTGAAGTGAATCTATCGTTACAAATTATGTATAAAATATAATAAATCGTGATAATTGACAACTTAAAATATTTATTAAAAAAACACAAAAAAAGAAATTGATTGATTCTTAAAATTAATTTATCAATGTCACATAAATGAGACAAAAGTAGTAATATGTATTATTTAATGTGAAATTAGTGAAAACTACGTAAAATGTATTGTAAATCTTAACAATTAACAACATTTGATTGACTCTTGAAAGTTTATCTATGCTACATACATTGAGACAAACGGAGTAATATATATTAAGTATTTAAAATTACGTACAACCTTATTGCTTTCTGTAGGCTTCGAATTATCGTGGTCATTTTTTAGGCTGATACAAGTTTTGTACATTTTCTATTTAATTTTTTTTAATATTATAAATCGCAATAATTAATAATTTAAAATATTTTAAAAAATATATTAAAAAATGAGTTGGTTTTGGGAATTTTATTTATACTATATAAAATGGGACAAAGGAAGCAACATATATCATTTACAAATGACTTAAAAAGCATTAAAAATTACAATAATTGCCAAATTAAAATATTTAAAAGCTATATAATAAAATAGGTTCACTCTTAGAATTCTATCGGGCTCACATATATTGGGACAGAAAAAATAACACATATCATTTTAAAATTATCAAAAAAGTATTATAAATAATAATAATTAACAACTTAAAATATCTAAAAGACATTTTAAAAGGGTTAATTTTGTAATTTTATCCATATCACATAAATTAGGACAAAGTCACCAGTAATGTAGGTTATTTGAAAGTTACATAAAAATATTATAAATCTCAATAATTAATAACTTAAAACATTTTTAAAAAAAATATATGAAAATTTGGATGACTCTCCAAATTTTATTTGTGTCACATAAATTGAGACAACAAAAATAACATATATTGGGTCCATTTTAATAGTGTCAAAGAAAGTATAGGTTTGTGATAAA